CAGCGTAGAAATAAGGGAAAGCGTGCCGAAAGTAATAGGCAGCTCCTGGTCGAGCTGATGAACTTACCAGATCGATGGGTTCAATTGGTCAGTTGACATCTGTAGGCCAAACTCTAACACACGCCACGTTTACCAGTGATCAATCATTCATAGGTTTTATGGTTTGGTTTAGTTTAAACTTTTCGTCCCATTTGAAGCAATCTTTGTTTTCATCCATAGAGTTCCATTCTACGTCAAGTCCATACCGCATAGGTCAATTGATGCTGCTTATTCAAACTGTAGCTCAGTAATCGATAACGTCCAACCTCAAGTATCGTCATGAGATAAAAAAAAAACACAAGTGCACCCACCCAAGTAATTCGGTTCTCAGCTAATGTTGACATCGGTTCCCAAGGCAACCGAAAGAATATTTTCCTATTGCTGCGGCGGTTACCAAGTGTTACCAATAAAAGTGAAATATGGGTCAGAGCATTCGTAAATAGGAAATTTTATGCAGAAAACGAGTACAGATTTTTTTTAAAGATTTTTTTTTTAAGTTTCAGATGCATACATTTATATAGTTGTTTACTTATATGCTACTTTAGTTTTATTACAATATATTTCATGACAGCAATATTAGAGACAATAAGAGAAAGGATGGATGGAGTAAAAACAAGTATTTAAAAAAAAATCACATACACACATAGTTAGTCACATTGCGCACAGATAAACCACATAGTCCCATATTTACAAGAATATATAAGAATAAGTGTACGCATAATTATGTTTACGATTGTAGAACAGGTAGGAGGTACACGTATACATTCGTGTATATATGTATGTGTGTGTGTGTCTATGTGGGTATGTGTGTGTCTGTGTGTGTATGTTTGTGTCTTTGTGTGTGTGTCTGTGTGTGTGTGTATACGTGTGTATGTCTCTCTCTCTCTCTCTCTCGCTCCCTCTTTCAACCGGGGGGGGGGGGGAGGACTAAAATTTCCGGGGGGCGGACACTGTTAAAAGTATGTTTTCTATATAAATTCCATTTTGGTCGTGGGGGGGGGGGTGTGGATGGATGGACGGATGGATGAATGGATGGATGGATGGACGGACAGACAGACAGACTGATAAATGTCCATATAGAGATGTATGGTCAGCTAGACGGACGGACTGACAAACAGACAGATATATCTATAGATACATAGATGTATGGAGATATAGAGATATAAAGATGTAGAGATATAGAGATAGATATAGAGATATCGATATAGATATATAGATAAACATATATTGATAGATGTTATTTAGATTTTATATATATATATATATATATATATATATATATATATATATATATGTTTAGATGTATAATTTTATATTTTATAGTTATATATATATATATATATATATATATATATATATATATATATATATATATATATATATATATATATATATGCCTATATATGCTTGTAAATGTACAGCCTATGAAGTCGCTTTTTTTACATTGGAGAGACCATCTTATTTATTTTGGCCCAGCCATGTAATATGTCTAGCTGGCTGTGGAAGTCTGGTCGATACAGCATCGATCGAGTTGTTTGAAAATCCACTGACTTTTACTTTATAAAATGAATCTTTTAAACAGCGACACCTAAACAGCTTCGCAATAACTGAATATCTTAAAGGACATTCCAGTCTGTGGCATTCTCTTGAAAACCTCCATTAAAATGTTTCAAGCTTATTCGATAGCAGTATCACAATGAACAGTGAAATGTGGAAGTCTGCCTGATGTAAGGAGTTGAATAAAGCAACAAAGCTTATAAAACAGATATAGCGCCGTAGCCTCAGTTGTCACCCAATGAGGTAACTGTAGCTTACTTCCACAGGACTAGATTATATATATATATATATATATATATATATATATATATATATATATATATATATATATATATATATATATATATATATATAGATAGATAGATACAGATATGTTTGTGTGCAGTCCTATACTCACAGATTTATGGTTTGATTTGCTATGCTCCACAAGGAGTAAAGAGAATGAGGTCAAATAAATTGACAAATTGACAGACAGTGTCAACGAGATCTGAAATATATCAAGCATCAAGCAGCAGAGTGGTCACACATTGGGACACAAAAGACCTTTTAAGACTCGGTCTGTTTTACTTAAATTCAAAAGCTCATTACGAGTCATTAGCCATGGAGAGATATACATTTTCTAACAAAATTAACTGCAGTGAATATCATAGTTTCAACAGTTCTGATTGTCTCAATAATGTGCAATACGATCCATTCAACCGTTCTGATTGTCTCCATAATGCGCAATACGGTCTTCATAATGTTCGTTCTCGCGTTTGACTAAAAATTGTGAACGTTCACAGACAGCGCATAAACGATCATAGTTCAAATGTAGAACCTGCTAGAGAATTGGAAGGGTTGGGGCGTCATTATACGACGTCATACACTTCAATGGGGAGGGGGCGGGGGGGAATGTGGTATAGTACAAGTCTAGTTCTCATGAATGTTAATATAAACGTAGCGATGTTTTTGTAAAATATTAATGCTTGGTCGATTGATCAGTTATATAGATTTTGTACTAATTGATACTAAATATTATGGTATAAATATTATTTTTTTAAGTTTTATGTAACAATATGTTAGTCCTATTTTAAAATTAACTTTTCTAAATGTCACAATCAATGCCTTTTACGTAGGCCTACGGACTATTTGTCGGCGGGAAAGAGAAAATACGAAACATCACAGCCTTGTATATTTTCTCAACGGACAAATAAAATATTATACTCAGCTGTTATTATTTGGTGTGCAAGTCAAAGCTAAAATGCGTTTTTTAACGACTTATGTTATTCGACTTTTAAATTAAATCTATGTGGTTTTGTTTTTGAAAATAATGACTAGTATTATTGGACTTTCATAACTAGCTACAAGGGAACTAATTACATTTCTGGCTGATCAACAAAACAACATGTCTTTTTGTTCTACACACTCGCTATTATCAGCAGCTGCGACCAGTGTTTCTTCCAGACTTTTTTCTCCGGGGGGGCACTTGAAATTTTCGGGGGGGCGGTAGACTTTCTTCGGAGGGGCGGACACTGTTAAAAGTATATATTTTCTATATAAATTATATAAATTTCATTTCGTTCGGGGGGGGGGGGGCGGTAAAAATTTTTCGGGGGGGGGGGGGGGCTTCGCCCCCCCCGAAGAGATGCCTGGAAGAAACTCTGGCTGCGACCGTTTTTCTACGTGCAGGTCAGAGACAAATAGCATTTAATTACTGCCCTGTGATTGATGTGTGGACCTAAACAAACATTATTGTTGAAGACTTGTTTTGAAAAAAAAACAATACAGCTAAGAAAGAAAATGTTACCATTGCAATGAATTGTATTTTCTATTGCCCAGTCTACGATTGTATAGACGGAGCTATTGAGATGGCCGTAGCTGTTTACTTATAGAAAACAATTCTACCTGCCTCATCATAACATGTTGTTGGTGATGATTCATGTAGTTATAACATTTAAAACGAATGCTATCAGACAAATAGGCCTACAATATAGATTTTTCGAAATAATTTTAGATGCTGTAATTTGGCGAAAATTAAGTGAAAAGATTTATAGGAATCCTGTTGAACGTAGTAGTGAAGAAGATTCCGCCCCAAGTAGAATTTGGAAAGGTGTTATTAGTTACTAGATTCCCAACTGACTTGAACCAGAAAACCCTAATCCGGCTGTAGCCTCAAACACCATCACCGCTTTCAGCAATATCTTTATTTATTCCAAAATCGATGGTGAGGGCTTTAAATACATTTGTTCAACGACTGGTCCGGAGAGATGCATTGACCAGCTGTGTCCATTCGCAGCATGAGCCATGGCTTGGGGTCATTTGTTAGAAAAAAAAATAGAATCAGGAAGATTTATGGTTTAAGAAAATCGATGGCACTACAAGTCCAATATTTACACCCTTGTTGCTTTCTTTTCAATAGAAGGGCTCCCTTTTGTTTCCTTAACATGTTAAAACTTTTTTTTATTAAATTTTAGCTTTTTTAAAAAATACAAATGACTTTGTAATATAATATGACTTCCTCATTTCCGTGTAGGATATCACAATTCTGCATTGTAGTATATTATATTACGTGTGAATGATTTTAAGAATTAAACTAATTGTAGATTTTAATTCATATTTTATTGAGTTACCCCAACATTAAACATAAAGGAGGTGAACCAAACTGATTCTCATCTGCATATTTAATATTTAGTAACCACCAGAATTTCATCAGCAGAAGTGGCATCTAAACAGCAGACAGAGAAATCAGAAGTGGTATTCCAAAAACAGACAGAGAAACCAGAAGTGGCATCTCAACAACAGACAGAGAAATCAGAAGTGGTATCTCAACATCAGAGAAATCAGAAGTGGCATTTCAACAACAGTTCAATATATTGTGAGCTACATCTTAGTGAGCCTTATTGTGTTAGATTCTTTATATATATATATATATATAAATATATATATATATATATATGTGTGTGTGTGTGTGTGTGTGTTCTATTGAACTATTGAACATATTTAGCAATCTTTTCCCTGTGGATGTATCGTAGACTGCCTGAGTTAACAATATCTGCCTGTTAGTACACTGATGGTAGGTGCATTGACATATGTTTAACTTTCAATATTTCACTATTTGCATTTGTTTCTGATGTTCTCAATCGTCAAACTACATCTGCCTCAAAATTTTATTTACTAAGTAATATAACCTATAACACACACGCATATATATATTTTTCTATCAAGTATCTACAACTAGTGACAAAGGCATCTGTGTAAGCGTGAGGGCTACTTCTCCCATCTCCCAATGGACCTCCCCACATGAAATAATCTCGCTTGAAATTAAATTAAAGATACCGTGATAAAGAGCTTGCGTCGTTTTATTTTTACAATTTCAAAATATAATAAATATTTATATAATAAAAAACAACCTTAAGGTCTTAGATTATAAGTAATATAACCTATTAAATAACCACAGCGGAAAATAATGTGAAGATTTTTTTAATTCAATTTTTATTTTTTCAACAGTTGACTAACACATTTTTTCAAGCAGCTTATAGGGCTCCTCGTGCCGTATTGCCCTGCCAATGAAACTTGTTTATATTATATAACATGAATTCTAAAATTTGTCCAAGGGAGTTAACACATGATAAATTCACGTTTATTAAATCCTGGAGGTTATCACAAGGTGATTTGTTAATAGTCATAACAACAAACACAAATAATAATAAACGCTTTGGCATTATGCATTTAAATCTCTTTTCAATACAATAAATATTGTTGATTTATTTCTAACTGGAGGTAGTATTTAAAAATGAATGAATCTCACAAGTGCCAGATCCCCAGTGATAAACATTAATGTAGCCGCATCTCCCTATGTGATTTCCTGCATGATATGGAGAAGTTACTGCTGCATCTCCAGAACAATTGATATCTAAACTAGTACCAGTCTCCCATCCGTTGGATAGAACCCCTTTAAACTCAAAAAATCCATTGTAAGACCTTGAGCAGTCCATGTCCACATCTAATATCCAGTAGTGGTCACCATATCTAAAGACAAGATTATATGATAAATAAACCGGGAGTGATCTCCCCTAAACTTTCTCGAATATTCTTATATGAAACAACAGGGAATGGCAACTCGGAATAGACATGACTTTTAATCCAGTTTAATTACTTAAACTTTTTAAAATAGAATAAAATCTCGTAGAAAAAAAGAATTGCACACCAAGTGAACGTCATATAAAAAATGCAAAATAGTGCGGAATATTATTAGTACTTTATAAATTCACATGCGTTTTTTTTTTTTGAAAAATCGGAAATAGCGAAAATTATTACTTCCGGTCAACGGAAATTACTCAAAATTTGACAGAAGACAGCGAATTAGATCTTTTGCTTACATCTGAAACGTTATAGGCTTTTTGAAAAATTGAAAGTAAAATCAATTCCATTTCCGTTTATCGGAAATCGCTGAAAAGTTGATACAGAATTACAGATTTGATTTAATACTTGTATATGAAATTTCATCAACCTAAGATTAACGGTACTCAAGTTATTGTGTTCACAGACACACATACACCAACAGACTTACGGACAAGATTGCAAAACTATGTTTTTCCGATTCAGGGAAGTGTCAAACGTCGTGATTTACAAAAATCTCGATTTTTGTTTTGCACGATTACAATACTTTCTCTATACTTTGTATACGAGAAAGTAAAAATGTAGAATAAACAAATAATATTAGATAGATATAATGAAGATATATAAAAATGAGATAAAATAAGACAGATCTGTGTGGTAGGGGCCAAACTGATCTATGTGGTAGGGGCCAAACAGATCTGTGTGGTAGGGGCCAGACTAAACAGATCTGTGTGGTAGGGGCCAAACAGATCTGTGTGGTAGGGGCCAGACTAAAACAGATCAGTGAGGTAGGGGCCAAACAGATCTGTGTGGTAGGGGCCAAACAGATCTGTGTGGTAGGGGCCAGACTAAACAGATCTGTGTGGTAGGGGCCAAACAGATCTGTGTGGTAGGGGCCAAACAGATCTGTGTGGTAGGGGCCAGACTAAACAGATCTGTGTGGTAGGTGCCAGACTAAACAGATCTGTGTGATAGGGGCCAGACTAAACAGATCTGTGTGGTAGGGGCCAAACAGATCTGTGTGGTAGGGGCCAGACTAAACAGATCTGTGTGGTAGGGGCCAGACTAAACAGATCTGTGTGGTAGGGGCCAAACAGATCTGTGTGGTAGGGGCCAGACTAAACAGATCTGTGTGGTAGGGGCCAAACAGATCTGTGTGGTAGGGGCCAGACAGATCTGTGTGGTAGGGGCCAAACTAAACAGATCTGTGTGGTAGGGGCCAAACAGATCTGTGTGGTAGGGGCCAGACCAAACAGATCTGTGTGGTAGGGGCCAGACTAAACAGATCTGTGTGGTAGGGGCCAGACTAAACAGATCTGTGTGGTAGGGGCCAGACTAAACAGATCTGTGTGGTAGGGGCCAGACCAAACAGATCTGTGTGGTAGGGGCCAGACTAAACAGATCTGTGTGGTAGGGGCCAAACAGATCTGTGTGGTAGGGGCCAGACTAAACAGATCTGTGTGGTAGGGGCCAAACAGATCTGTGTGGTAGGGGCCAGACCAAACAGATCTGTGTGGTAGGGGCCAGACTAAACAGATATGTGTGGTAGGGGCCAAACAGATCTGTGTGGTAGGGGCCAGACAGATCTGTGTGGTAGGGGCCAGACTAAACAGATCTGTGTGGTAGGGGCCAAACAGATCTGTGTGGTAGGGGCCAGACTAAACAGATCTGTGTGGTAGGGGCCAAACAGATCTGTGTGGTAGGGGCCAGACTAAACAGATCTGTGTGGTAGGGGCCAGACTAAACAGATATGTGTGGTAGGGGCCAAACAGATCTGTGTGGTAGGGGCCAGACAGATCTGTGTGGTAGGGGCCAGACTAAACAGATCTGTGTGGTAGGGGCCAAACAGATCTGTGTGGTAGGGGCCAGACTAAACAGATCTGTGTGGTAGGGGCCAGACTAAACAGAGCTGTGTGGTAGGGGCCAGACTAAACAGATCTGTGTGGTAGGGGCCAGACTAAACAGATCTGTGTGGTAGGGGCCAGACTAAACAGATCTGTGTGGTAGGGGCCAGACTAAACAGATCTGTGTGGTAGGGGCCAGACTAAACAGATCTGTGTGGTAGGGCCAAACAGATCTGTGTGGTAGGGGCCAGACTAAACAGATATGTGTGGTAGGGGCCAAACAGATCTGTGTGGTAGGGGCCAAACAGATCTGTGTGGTAGGGGCCAGACTAAACAGATCTGTGTGGTAGGGGCCAGACTAAACAGATCTGTGTGGTAGGGGCCAGACTAAACAGATCTGTGTGGTAGGGGCCAGACTAAACAGATATGTGTGGTAGGGGCCAGACTAAACAGATCTGTGTGGTAGGGGCCAGACTAAACAGATCTGTGTGGTAGGGGCCAAACAGATCTGTGTGGTAGGGGCCAAACAGATCTGTGTGGTAGGGGCCAGACTAAACAGATCTGTGTGGTAGGGGCCAGACTAAACAGATCTGTGTGGTAGGGCCAAACAGATCTGTGTGGTAGGGGCCAGACTAAACAGATCTGTGTGGTAGGGGCCAGACTAAACAGATCTGTGTGGTAGGGGCCAGACTAAACAGATCTGTGTGGTAGGGGCCAGACTTAACAGATCTGTGTGGTAGGGGCCAGACTAAACAGATCTGTGTGGTAGGGCCAAACAGATCTGTGTGGTAGGGGCCAGACTAAACAGATCTGTGTGGTAGGGGCCAAACAGATCTGTGTGGTAGGGGCCAGACAGATCTGTGTGGTAGGGGCCAAACTAAACAGATCTGTGTGGTAGGGGCCAAACAGATCTGTGTGGTAGGGGCCAAACAGATCTGTGTGGTAGGGGCCAGACCAAACAGATCTGTGTGGTAGGGGCCAGACTAAACAGATCTGTGTGGTAGGGGCCAAACAGATCTGTGTGGTAGGGGCCAGACTAAAGAGATCTGTGTGGTAGGGGCCAAACAGATCTGTGTGGTAGGGGCCAGACCAAACAGATCTGTGTGGTAGGGGCCAGACAGATCTGTGTGGTAGGGGCCAAACAGATCTGTGTGGTAGGGGCCAAACAGATCTGTGTGGTAGGGGCCAGACCAAACAGATCTGTGTGGTAGGGGCCAGACTAAACAGATCTGTGTGGTAGGGGCCAAACAGATCTGTGTGGTAGGGGCCAGACTAAACAGATCTGTGTGGTAGGGGCCAGACTAAACAGATCTGTGTGGTAGGGGCCAAACAGATCTGTGTGGTAGGCGCCAGACAGATCTGTGTGGTAGGGGCCAGACTAAACAGATCTGTGTGGTAGGGGCCAGACTAAACAGATCTGTGTGGTAGGGGCCAGACTAAACAGATCTGTGTGGTAGGGGCCAGACAGATCTGTGTGGTAGGGGCCAAACAGATCTGTGTGGTAGGGGCCAAACAGATCTGTGTGGTAGGGGCCAGACTAAAGAGATCTGTGTGGTAGGGGCCAAACAGATCTGTGTGGTAGGGGCCAGACTAAACAGATCTGTGTGGTAGGGGCCAGACTAAACAGATCTGTGTGGTAGGGGCCAGACTAAACAGATCTGTGTGGTAGGGGCCAGACTAAACAGATCTGTGTGGTAGGGGCCAAACAGATCTGTGTGGTAGGGGCCAGACTAAACAGATCTGTGTGGTAGGGGCCAAACAGATCTGTGTGGTAGGGGCCAGACTAAACAGATCTGTGTGGTAGGGGCCAGACTAAACAGATCTGTGTGGTAGGGGCCAGACTAAACAGATCTGTGTGGTAGGGGCCAGACTAAACAGATCTGTGTGGTAGGGGCCAGACTAAACAGATCTGTGTGGTAGGGGCCAGACTAAACAGATCTGTGTGGTAGGGGCCAGACAGATCTGTGTGGTAGGGGCCAAACTAAACAGATCTGTGTGGTAGGGGCCAAACAGATCTGTGTGGTAGGGGCCAAACAGATATGTGTGGTAGGGGCCAGACTAAACAGATCTGTGTGGTAGGGGCCAGACTAAACAGATCTGTGTGGTAGGGGCCAAACAGATCTGTGTGGTAGGGGCCAGACTAAACAGATCTGTGTGGTAGGGGCCAGACTAAACAGATCTGTGTGGTAGGGGCCAGACTAAACAGATCTGTGTGGTAGGGGCCAGACTAAACAGATCTGTGTGGTAGGGGCCAAACAGATCTGTGTGGTAGGGGCCAAACAGATCTGTGTGGTAGGGGCCAGACTAAACAGATCTGTGTGGTAGGGGCCAAACAGATCTGTGTGGTAGGGGCCAGACTAAACAGATCTGTGTGGTAGGGGCCAGACTAAACAGATCTGTGTGGTAGGGGCCAGACTAAACAGATCTGTGTGGTAGGGGCCAGACTAAACAGATTTGTGTGGTAGGGGCCAGACTAAACAGATCTGTGTGGTAGGGGCCGGACAGATCTGTGTGGTAGGGGCCAGACTAAACAGATCTGTGTGGTAGGGGCCAAACAGATCTGTGTGGTAGGGGCCAGACTAAACAGATCTGTGTGGTAGGGGCCAAACAGATCTGTGTGGTAGGGGCCAGACTAAACAGATCTGTGTGGTAGGGGCCAGACTAAACAGATCTGTGTGGTAGGGGCCAAACAGATCTGTGTGGTAGGGGCCAGACTAAACAGATCTGTGTGGTAGGGGCCAGACTAAACAGATCTGTGTGGTAGGGGCCAAACAGATCTGTGTGGTAGGGGCCAGACAGATCTGTGTGGTAGGGGCCAGACTAAACAGATCTGTGTGGTAGGGGCCAGACAGATCTGTGTGGTAGGGGCCAAACAGATCTGTGTGGTAGGGGCCAGACAGATCTGTGTGGTAGGGGCCAGACTAAACAGATCTGTGTGGTAGGGGCCAGACTAAACAGATCTGTGTGGTAGGGGCCAGACAGATCTGTGTGGTAGGGGCCAGACTAAACAGATCTGTGTGGTAGGGGCCAAACAGATCTGTGTGGTAGGGGCCAGGCTAAACAGATCTGTGAGGTAGGGGCCAGACTAAACAGATCTGTGAGGTAGGGGCCAGACTAAACAGATCTGTGTGGTAGGGGCCAGACTAAACAGATCTGTGAGGTAGGGGCCAGACTAAACAGATCTGTGTGGTAGGGGCCAAACAGATCTGTGAGGTAGGGGCCAGACTAAACAGATCTGTGTGGTAGGGGCCAGACTAAACAGATCTGTGAGGTAGGGGCCAAACAGATCTGTGTGGTAGGGGCCAAACAGATCTGTGAGGTAGGGGCCAGACTAAACAGATCTGTGAGGTAGGGGCCAGACAGATCTGTGTGGTAGGGGCCAGATTACATTACCAGATATTACCTATAGATTACCACCAGATATAATAAGGCAGACCTACAGATGATCACCAGAACTACAGATGACCACCAGACCTACAGATGACCACCAGATATAATACAGCAGACCTACAGATGGCCACCAGATATAATACAGCAGATCTACAGATGACCACCAGACCTACAGATGACCACCAGATATAATACAGCAGACCTAAAGATGACAACCAGATATAATACAGCAGACCTACAGATGGCCACCAGATATAATACAGCAGAACTACAGATGACCACAAGATATAATACAGCAGACCTACAGATGACCACCAGACCTACAGATGACCACCAGATATAATACAGCAGACCTAAAGATGACAACCAGATATAATACAGCAGACCTACAGATGACCACCAGATATAATACAGCAGACCTTCAGATGACCACCAGATATAATACAGCAGACCTACAGATGACCACCAGATATAATACAGCAGACCTTCAGATGACCACCAGATATAATACAGCAGACCTACAGATGACCACAAGATATAATACAGCAGACCTACAGATGACCACCAGACCTACTGATGACCACCAGACCTAGAGATGACCACCAGACCTACAGATGACCACCAGATATAATACAGCAGACCTACAGATGATCACCAGACCTACAGATGACCACCAGAACTACAGATGACCACCAGATATAATACAGCAGACCTACCGATGACCACCAGACCTACAGATGACCACCAGATATAATACAGCAGACCTACAGATGACCACCAGATATAATACAGCAGACCTACAGATGACCACCAGACCTACAGATGACCATCAGATATAATACAGCAGACCTACAGATGACCACCAGATATAATACACCACACCTACAGATGACCATTAGACCTACAGATGACCACCAGATATAATACAGCAGACCTACAGATGACCACCAGATATAATACACCAAACTTATATATGACCACTAGATATAATATAGAAGATAAAAAGATGATCAGTAGGCTTAAAAGAGAAATGGTAAAAACTTGAATAAGATTATACAAAACATCTGTATAAAACCTTATGACTTACGTATTTAAAGGATCATAATATTTAGAGCCTCTTACGCTGCTTGTCCATTGGCCTGGTGATCCCTGCGCCAACTGAAAAGGTGAAAAGAAAATGGTTTGGTGACAATCAAATCTGATTTACATTTTACATAGTACTGTATATTGTAGGCATCACTATTAATTTTTAGCAACACATTTTAATATCAGATGTAACTTGTCTAAAAAAAATTTTAAGCAGCTACTATAACTCTTTAAAAAAAAAAGAATTACAGTAGCACCATGCTTCTCCTGTGTAGGTTCTGGACCAAACCAATCTAAAAAATTGTCCCCTTTAGCCCAGGAATCTCTGGCAGGCGTAGCTTCTAAAACTTGTAGCTGTCTGTGGCGAATTGGAATGACACATGGGTTGGTTTCAAAATCATAGGTTTCACAAGCTGAAAAAAGTTTAGTTCTGAAAAGAATCTGAATTGTGGCTGTTACAAATATTTTATCATCCAGGGACTACAATACTGATAAATGCCATAATCCTAGGGATTAACTGTTTTCCACATAAAAATCACATCAAATTAAACAGGAGATAGAAGACAAATTTTCATAAATACCTTTTGGATCAGAAATTCTGCTTGAGGTTATTCCTCCCCTGAAAAAAACATCCTCTCCAGGGTTAGTTCGCCTCTCTAAAAATACAACAGTTCTGTGCCAGCCAAGTATCGTCTGAGGTTCTGTGGTAGTACTCAACTCATCTGTAGTTGGATGTGTGTAACCATCAGTACTCCACTCATCCGTAGTTGAATGTGTGTAACCATCAGTACTCCACTCATCCGTAGTTAAATGTGTGTAACCATCAGTACTCCACTCATCCGTAGTTGAATGTGTGTAACCATCAGTACTCCACTCATCGGTAGCTGGATGTGTGTCTCCATTGGTAAAAAGGTTTGAATTTTCATATGTGAACTCAGGGGTAGATGTATTGTAACTCTCTGTTGTCCATTCATCAGTGAGCAAAACACTCCCATCTGTTGTTACCTCTTCAGTAAAGTTATCTAAATGATTGTTAAATAATTGTTTTTTAAACTTGTGGCAATTTAGTAGAAAACATATTTAAATTGCTGTGTACATGAAAACTGTGTCTGCTTTTCAACAGAAATTGTGTAATAATTTATAAATTAACAAAAGCATTAACAAATATGCATGTATGCTTTGTAAATATGCAAGTGGTAGCCATTCAATTTCATTAGTTGAACATTTTATTTCATAACACAAATCAGTTACTGAAACGAAGTTAGAGAATAATCATCACCCTTGTTTTGTAACAAGGGGCTATACTAGGATACACGAGTACACTTAGGTTTACATTTTTACAGGCTTCCTCCATGTTTATTAATTTTGTAAAGGAATGAAAACCAATTGGAAGATTTTTAGGTAATCTATCGTTTTAGGTACGTAAAATCGCCCGCGACTAGTAATGTGAAAAACAGGTGACTCCTTACATTTTAATAATTATTTCTCATTTTGAGGAGGATTTATGTTTTGAAAAATACAAACATGTTTTCTGGTATCATTTATGTACCTGTTTTTAAACAATTGAATTAAAACTTTTCAGTAATAAATGAACACCAGCGATGTTTCCAACAGATGCAACAATGCTCATTTACTATAGCAGCCATCTTGTTAAAGTTTTATTTTTATAGACTCATAGCACGAGATTCAGGCGGAAGTCACTCTATTTTACAAATGGCTGCAGTTTATATAGCAAATCTTGCTTGCAGACACTGCTGTTTAAAGTTAATTTCTGGCCTATATTGATATATTTAGCCATTGATTTAGGTTTATTATTCATTTATCTATAATATTTGACACAAACATATCACAATATAGATATCTACTTCTATTACAGCCTTGACAATGAGGTAACGTTTTCGTACATTAATAGCCGCGGGCGATTTTACGTACCCAAAACGATAGATTACCGATTTTTATTTTTATCCCATCCACCCATCCCTGTGGCTCTAGAGTCCAAGGTTTATAATTTTAATTATAAAAATTGGATAACAGTAAGCTACCTATGTAAACCTAAAAAAATTGTTTTAAAGATTTAGATTAGGTGTAAAGCATACATTTAATATTTACCTTTGACAAGAGCTACAATAGGTTCACCAAAAAACGTCAAGTTTAATATCCCTGAGCTGTTTACATAGTACTTCTGTTGGCAGTCAGTGATGACATCACAATAATATCCTTCAGGGAGTTCTGGGAAAAGGCAGGTTGGCCATATTCAGCTATAGTCTACAACATCATTATTTCAAATTACAAATAGCTTTTCCTCTTCAAATTGATATTTTATGTATTGAGCATAAAACATTCTGACACTTCTCCAGCTATTAATTACCACAAATAATTGTTAGTCAGAAACGAAGGTTTAATATATGTAGCTAATTACAATTTTATCTCCTATAAACAGTTCATTTCAGTGTCTGCCAAAAAAAAAAGTTTAATTTATTTAAATCTAATTGTATTAACGTAAAACTGAATTAAATTCCATTCCATTTAATGATGCATAAGGCCTGTTGCTTTTTTATTAATCTATAAAAGTTGCTGTGTGATGATGGTAAATATGCAAATTCTTTACTAAGGGAAGTAGGCCTATAATTTAAGATACTCAAAAAATAAAATGAAGAACTTTAAAATAGATGATAGTTTGGTAAGACTTCTGAAAATATGTAACCAAGGCAAACAGAGCAAAAGAACATATCCAATATTTTTATTAAATAATACAAGTATCCAGATAAAACTCCATACTTATTGTGTTTTTTTGTGGTGCTTTTTTTTTCTTCATATATCATGTGCCTAGACTGTAAACAATGAACCAAATTGTCCAAAATGGTTCTTTTATTTTTAATAAATGGAATCAATCTATTGTATTTACTGTTGCTGAAAATATGTACTTTGATATTGTCTTTTTTGCCAACAGAAGTTTAAAAATCTACTATGTTATTAGCACTTTAAAAAAAATTTAATGGTTAGAATCCCAGTCTTTCCATAGCCCTCAACTGGTCAACTGATCTGTTAGGTCACTGATTTTATGTTAATTTATACTAGACATAACAACTAATACACACACACACATTTTTTGTTTCATAAAAAAAAAACAAATTTAATTAACATAAATAAAAATAAAATACAAATATAAAGAACAATTATTTAAGATGTCATTTATTTTTCTTAAGGCATATCTTAAGGCAAATGAGCCTGCATGAATGATTGATTTCTAATAATCTACACAGTAGGCCAATTGTCTGATTATTTCTTTATCTACTCCCTGTTCCTATGAGTCTATCTATTCATCTGTGGTCAGTTTTGATAAGGTTATTTCTTTATCTGCATCCTGTTACCTATTCTCTCTTTTTTTTTTAAATAAAAAGTCCGGATTGCCAATGAACTACAAGATGAATTTTTTGGATTTGCAGTATGATTCCTCAGCAAAGACAGGTTGCCCAAACAATTCTGGAGTGGTATGTATTATTCAAGCCCAAATGTGACCATGCTTATCTTTCTAGTTATAGCTTATAGTCTTCAATTAAAAAACAAAATAAATGAATGAATAAAATGTTTAGAATGACATAAGATTTGCATTTACAAAAATTCACCAACAAATTTTGAAACTGGATAAAGTCCTGCAATTTCTATAATAGCATTCAATTTTTTTTTTAATTTCAAGATAAAGATATAGACCTACTACAAACCTTTTATGTTGTTTTAATTTGAAATTACGTTTCAATATGGTATTCAATTGCAAGTGGGTCACCGTCCTATATAAAAAGGTTTGCCATTAGAAAAAGTCTGGAAACCTGTGATGTAAAGGTCTTGCACAACTTTTTCCACACATAATAACCAAGTGTAAAATGGGCAATCAATGAGGATAATAAAACTGATATTTATACTTTATAAAATGTTGTATAAGTTAATACATTACTTTGGAAGTGTTTATAATGATAGAAAAAAAATGTAATGTTCTCTCAAATTCTGTCACTATATTTAGAAAAAAACATTTATATTATAACTTTCTAATGTATTATATTTATATCTTACTTAGAATTAGGGGTAGTCTAGGAAAACAATGATTTCTTTCAGAACATAAAATTTTTAACTGAATTAGAAATTACCATTTTTTTTACATGTTTATCCAAATGTTATGTAGAAATGTTTCTGTTTTTCCACAAATAAGTTCATCATATTGTAGAGGAAATAAGCAAGGTGCTTATATCCTCTCACATCCAGTCAAGGAAAAAAATACTTTGCTTATTTCCTCTCAACCTTGAGAGGATATATATTTCCTCAACCAGATGTGAGAGGATCTTTGCACTGAGTGTATTTCCTCAATTGTTCACCAAAATAAGCACTAACCATTTCATTAGGATGTTATAGTTAAAAATATGTACAAAAAATGTATTTTTAACCAACTAATTTTTCACAAGGAATAGCAGCTAGCCTTTCATGAGGCCTTACCTGAATAGATGATCTGACTGGTCAGGCTATTGTTACTAGACATCCAGAAGAAACCTCCACTTCCACGACTGAATGACACAGTGTTTTCTGTAGCACTGCAGTTAGCCATAGGCTTTCCTCTAACAAAGTTGCTAAATTGCACACTATTCTTTATCACTGGCCACCTGATCAGAACAAATTTGATCTAATATAATTTTTCATATGTTACATAATGTTCAAGATAAGTAAATCTAGATGGAAGAAACGTGTGCTATTTGTACAACACAGTGCTATGTTTACAGTCAATACAACACAGTGCTAATTAGCTATGTTTACAGTCAATACAACACAGTGCTAATTAGCTATGTTTACAGTCAATACAACACAGTGCTAATTAGCTATGTTTACAGTCAATACAACACAGTGCTAATTAGCTATGTTTAAAGTCAATACAACACAGTGCTAATTAGCTATGTTTACAGTCAATACAACACAGTGCTAATTAGCTATGTTTACAGTCAATACAACACAGTGCTGCTAATTAGCTATGTTTACAGTCAATACAACACAGTGCTAATTAGCTATGTTTACAGTCAATACAACACAGTGCTAATCAGCTATGTTTAGAATAATTACCTGTGCTCACACACCCAGCCATTATCACACAAACTTTCAGTATTTATTGACACATCTAGAATGTTCTCATTGTCATCAGCTGGGGGACCAGCTTCCGTGTCAGTAAAGTAGTAGCTAGACATGACTCTCTGAGTTCCATAGCCAGCTGCCAGTGTTAAAGCTTGGGCTCTTTTGTACAGAGATGGATTCTAAATTGTTTACAGATTACAAGTTTACCTCGAATAAAGTGCTATACAGCTGTTAAAAAATATACATTACATGTTTTCGTTATTCATATCAAGCTATTTTTGGTTCATTTATTTTGAGTTGACTTAATTATGTACTTTTCTCTCATAGATTAAGTAATTAGTGAAAAAAGTTTTATCCTTAAGATTCTCACTTTATAATTCAGCACAACCGATCCAGGTCTCTCACGGCCACGTTGAGTGTCATGATTATCAACAAACAGCAGAGCATTTTCTTCATGCAAAAGATCTTTAAAGCTATCACAAAGCCCTGAATAATTTTGTCTTGAGAGTTTTTCACCAATCACTTCAGAGTAAACAAATTCTAAGAAGCAAGAAGTATATGCCAAATTTTGGTTTTGTATTCAAGTGTTAGGAAAATGACAGGGATTATTTTAGTTATTATAGTGATTTTATATTGACAAATTAAGTTCTATATAACAGCTTCTTCTGGGCAAGAGCTAAGATAACCCCCCCCCCCCCCAATGGTGGGTAAAGCCTCTTCACCAATGAATTCTTTATTACTGGAATTGTCTATAACTTCTCTGGATGTTATTCTCAAAATACCTAATCTTACCTAGCGTTTCATTAGATTTATTCTGGCTTAAACAATCTGAGCTACTGGTGGGAAAATTCTCTAAGGTATTTCAATCCAGGTCATCCGTGACTATACAGGATGAACGGTGACCGTAAAAATGTGCAAAGGAAAAATGAGCGAACAGAAATCAGCCCACACAGAAAAATGTCACAGTCCTCACATTTTTCTGTTTGTGCATTTGTCTGTGTCCGGATTATTTTGCATATTTTTTCTTTAATAAAAGCTATGGTCAGTAAAACATGTAGGGCATCTCATAAATGACAAAGTTTTTTGTTCTTATTTTTTGTATCAACCCTTTTATTATTGAATATAGTAATCTTTAAATCTTTTTTAATGACTAATTAAACTTCTTATTAAATTTCAAATTGCAATTTGAAATCACAGATTCTTGCATTGTCATGAGAGACAAATGAATCTGGATAGTTTGAACTGAATAGATGCTTTAGAAGTTGGTCAAAACTGAGATACAAGATTTGCCACAAACCTACAAACATACATTCTGAACAAAGAAAAAGCTTGTTATAAGGTATTGTAAAAATGAACATGGGTTTATGATCAGATCAATAATAATTAGATCTTACTCTGCCAAATGGCTGATGCAATTTAATTTTTACTGTAAATATCTTTGTCTTATTTTTATTGTTATTAGAGATACTTCTAAAGCTAAAGGAAACAAACCAATTTACCTGTTACTAAACCTAAATTGTAGTACTGATCTGAAGTGACAGCATCCGGTATAGTATTAACAACTTCATTGATAAAAACTGGCCGACCTCCTGTCACAACATTTTTCACCTAAAATTATTACAGCTTATGTTATCATACATTTTCAAATGCAGTATCTTCAAGAAGCAGGTAGTCATTTAGTAAACAAAAAATACACATATTAACAAACCCAACAGCTCATTTCACATATAAAACTACTCACAGTACTATATATTGTGCTTAGTTGCTGTGGATGAATGTGTTTTGCTGCATCCACTCTAAACCCAGCTGAGCCATGGTCAATCAGCTTGTTTAGCAAACCAACAATTTGATCACGCACATAATCTTGACTTTGATCCAAGTCAGGCAATTCTAATAACTGGCATTGTCTCAAATCTTCAGTGGAGCTAAGATTAGACAATGGAGCATCTGGGTTTGTACAATCATCTCTGCCAAAAAAAAACAAAACAAAAAATAAGACATATATTGTGTTATACTTTAACCAAAGTGACATTAGGGCATAATAAAATGGAAGCAGGACATTACCCCCCCCCACCCCGTGTCAATAACCCTCATTGTTATCCGACCCTGCCGATTACCCTTCCTTTCGTCCTTCCCCCCCCCCCCCCTCCACCCCCCCCCCCACCCCCACCCCCACCCCACGGACAAAGATATAAACAGCAAAATCTAAATGTACAAACATGAATGAAAAGAATAATGAACAATAAAAATATACATTTCTCAATTTTTATTTTCTTAAACAGAAAACAAGGAAAAACTTATAAAAATCTAAATTTTATATTATATCAATGTTAACCAAGTTAATTAAATATTTTACAAACCATTCTGTTTTTTTTTAAATGTGCAACTTTATGGGGGGAGGGGGGGGTAGGTTGAGGTGTTATTTACTTTTAGGGTGTCTAACTTTTTCTGACAGCGTGTGCTACAGGAGAATGTGTGGGAGTAAAACTATTTTTTAACAGCTTGACAATGTTTATGAAATGTTCAAATCACATACCTGCTATGAAAATGTGTCTTGTTGTAGGGAACCCCTGGGTAATCTAAAGCTGTGCCATTGTACATAGTCCCAGCTACACCAACACCAGAGTCTCCCCTTGCCATGTGATTCAGTACCACATCATTTATAATCCTGGCAATGAAGATAGTACCATTTATATTTACAATACTAATATTATAGAGATCATGTATGTTCAAAAGACTTAATCTTTATTCTAATTATTCTTAATTGTAAGTTTAAAAAAAATAACCTAAGCTTAAACTTAAAGGCTTAAAGCTATGAATATTATCATACAACTTCATGTAGACCTTCTAAATCTAGATCTATCTATATGCCGGAAAGGCTATAGTTAAGTAGATCTAGATCTATATTAACTATATAGGGATTAGTGGTTCCCATAAAATAATATTCTTTCCCCAACAAATTGTCCATTTTTCTAAGCAATATTCTGGATTGAATTTTAAGAAATGCCATTTATCTGTTCTAGCCCAAATTCCAGGCATATAGGCCTCTCTCTCTCTCTCCCATTCTCTCTCTCTAGACGGGCTTTGACCGTAACATATATATATATATATATATATATATATATATATATATATATATATATATATATATATATATATATATATATATATATGTTACGTGCTAAGTTCTTCGGGCTTTGGCCAAGAGAGCCGGCCAATGCGCGGATTGGCCAGCCAATCCGCGCTTTGGCCGCACTTCGGGCTTTGACCGTAACATATATATATATCCTGATATATAAAAGCCCATGTGCTCACTTCTCTCTCTCTCTCTCTCTCTGTCCGCAAAATATTTTCGCAGGGTATCACATCAGAATCTTCCAGTGTTTCTTCCAGACTTTTTTCTCCGGGGGGGGGGGGGCACCTGAAATCTTCGGGGGGGGGGGGGGGCGGTAAACTTTCTTCGGGGGGGCGGACACTGTTAAAAGTGTATATTTTCTATATAAATTCTATAAATTTCATTTCGTTCGGGGGGGCGGTAAAAAAATTTCGGGGGGGCTTCGCCCCCCCCCCCCCCCGCGAAGAGATGCCTGGAAGAAACTCTGGAATCTTCAGCAATGTATGGAGAACTTGATACGGACTTTTGTTGAAAATAATATGGTAGATATTTTAAATATATAACCAACATTTTATTTAAAGAAGAAAAATAAAAAATAAAGGCATATTCGAATGTAGAAAAACATTTTTAATTATGCAACAGGAAAAGCGTTTATAGTTGTGAAAAAGAACCCATGAAACAATGACGTCACTAATGTTTATACATTAACTAATGACGTCATCTGCCGAGTTTTAAATAAAAAGAAATGAAATGTTTCATTCAAATTTGATTTAGATCTACGTACGCTATGAAATGTATACAATGCAATTTTTTCGGGCTAAACTTATAAAATTTATTGTATCTATTTGGATTCTAGATCTAGAGATTCTAGATCTTGACTAGATCTAAATCTACGCAAAAACTAGACGCAGACGCTAATAAGTAGCTAAGATCCAGATTTAGGCTCTATCTACTCTAGAATCTATTACGAAAATAAATTTCTATATTAAACTATTTCAGGCCTTAATTATTTTATAGAAATCTTTGTTTGTTTAGCTATGGAACTGGCTAATTTGGGATAAAAAAAAATAATTTGAAAGAATAGGCATGTTCGCGTAAGTTAAGGTTTTTAAATTCGTCCTTCATTCTCCATAATTTATATTTAACTAGCCGTCCCGGCCAGGCCCTGCTCTGGCTTCTGTGAAAAACCTTTCTGTTAAAGACCATTACCTGTGTGTTTAGTAATCATCATAAACCCGGCATTGCCCACCCAAACCACAACCAACCAAAACCAAAACAACAAAACGCAAACATAAAGCTAACACAATTACAAATACAAAAGAAAACAAAAAACCTAACAAAAAACACAACCACAATTGCCCACCCAAACCACAACCAACCAAAACCAAAACAACAAAACGCAAACATAACGCTAACACAATTACAAATACAAACGAAAACAAAAACCTAACAATAAACCCAACCACAACCACAGACACCAATACAAGCACAAAGAAAAAACAAACAAAAAAGCAAACGAAAACAAAAACCTAACAACAAACCCAACCACAACCACAAACACCAATACCAACCAATAACAACACACAAAAAAACGAAAAAGCAAACGAAAACAAACCAAATCCAAACGCAAAACCAAAAACACAAATACAAACCCAAAGAAAAAAACACAAACAGAAACGAAAAAAGAAAGAACAAAAACGAACCAAATCAAACCGCAACCACTAACGCAAACCCAACCTAAACACAAAGAAAACACTAACGCGAACATAAACGCAAAGTGCTCACAGTCTAGCCCGGGGCGGAATCGCCTGTTTTAGCTTAATAAACGACTATAGTACCCCAACTTATTCATAGTCTTTTGCACTCACTTAAACGAACGCGCCTGTTTCAATTTAATGAACAATTATAATACTCCAAGCTTATCCGTAAAATACCTACAACATTTGCACTTGATCAATCCCCGCTAATTATGTAATTATTTTTTTTCCCAACACCAAAACAAAGTAAGAAAAAGTAAATTCTTGTCCACTAATGCAATGGTTTTATAAAGGGAAGTAATTCTGTTTTCCTAATTTATCAAATGGAAGTAAGTGATATAGGACTAAATAAAGACATAATTAGAATTTTTGTAAAAGATGATATTTTTTTAAAACTTGTGTTTAACGAACATGCCGAAAATTATTACTTTCAGTTTTATAAATGAAAATTATTTCCCAAAACTTTCAATATTAATTTTTTAACTCATAAATTTAGACCATAAGGACTTTAATTATATAACACTTAAATCCATCGGAGATCCACGACAAACGTATGTGTTACATACAGAATTGAGCTTTATATATATATTAGATAAGGTGCCTAAATAGCTGAGATCATATAGTGAACTTAATACCACGCAGGTGGAGTGGGATCGAGACACTCCAGGTCAGACTTAATTTTTATTTTTGCTATATGTGAATCTTCCGATTTTAGACTGTAAAGAAATGAACTACTTCATTCAAATTTGATCTAGATCTATAGATCTACTCATCAAGACGTACGCTATAAAATATATACAATTTTATCGGTCAAACTAATACAAATTACTTAAAAACAACATAATGACCATTGAATAGCCAGATTTTTAACGGAATCATTTAAGTCACTTAACAATCAGCGTGTGCCTGTGTTATGTTAAATGTGTCGGATTTTTAACTAATTAGTTATTTCTTTGCTTTGTCACTAATATCGTTCAGCGTGTAGTAAAGCACATTGCGTTTTGACCAATAACTATTTCATAAATTATTTTTCTCAAACAAGTACATTTTAAAATATATCGGCCTATAATTCACGTGAAACGGGCACCGATGGCTAGTGTTCTATAAAACATAATAATAGATAATGTAAAGAAATAGGCCTATATTTGTTAAATAAATTGTATATTCTTTGGAAATGAGCCAGATTTAGATATGTAAAGATGCTGGCGTAGGTGTAGGGTGGATGGAGGAGATATATAGGCGGAGGAGCTTTACTAAGTTTGCTTACTTTCTACACTGTTAATTATAAACTCATTCTATCTATACGGACGGCTACTAAAATCGATTACTAAATCGAATAAGGGGTGTCCTCCAATGCCTCGGTAACGATTAGGCGCCCCGAGTTACCCTGTGGCTACCTGAGTGCACGAGATCCGTTTATTGGGCGTCCTGCAGTGTAAGTGGTACTATTTGATTCAACGGGTGTTGGGAAATTGCGAGGCGCGAAAAGCGAAATGGCGAGGCGGAAAACTGCGAGAAGATAATGTGAGACATAGGCCTACCTGCGGAATCACGGGTAAATAGCGAGACACCTTTTGCGAAAAAAGTTTTGTTTCATGCTTATTTATTTAAATTCTTTTTTTTTTCAAATAAACAAGCATAAGCTTATAACCATACCCGTTAACACGGGTGTTGTTGTATGTTGTTATTTTTTAACCCAGTTTTCATTATTATATATAGATAGAAAGATAGAGACTAAGATAGATAGATATAGATCTATCTATTAAAAAATCCTAACATCGTTGCTGTGCTATTGTCATCGCCCGCTCTTGTTTTCTCGTTGGAGAGAGGAAAATCCCGTCTCAGTCGACATTATTTTGAAAAATCTAACGTGAGCGGGTCATTATGAATTGGTATAATCTTGTCAGCGGGAGAGATATTTTGCTACTTGTATCCATGGATTGTTGTACTTGCAGAAAGCGTAAAAGTATAGATAAACAATTTTAAAAAGTGTTATTTATTCTTTATTAAGTAATTTTAATTATAAACAAAATTTACAAACAAAATCTTCTAAAACAGTCCTAGCCCTACTCAAACACACCTCGTGACACCATCTTTCACACCCAGTACATCCAACCCAGTTCATAAGACTCCCATTTATACATTTTTCTTTGGCTACTTAATTCTTCCAATCCACATTCACAACATATCACATTCTCATCACAGTTGACCTCCCCGTTCATCCCACAAACAACACTGGCACCCATGTTCTCATCATCATCATCCGCACGCACAACATCTGTTTTCCGTTTTTTATAATTTGCATTTATACCATTTCTGTTATTTTGGCAATGTCTTGCTTATAATGATCAGCTTGTGCTGATATTTATATGGCGAAAAAAAATTCTAGAAAAAAAAATCGTAGGCGGCGGCAATAATACAAAATTTCTATGCAACAATACAAAATATGTCTGCGGCGGCAGCGGATTCTCCAAAGACGATATAAATCAGGCGGCCTCAGTGTTCCACACAAAAGAAAGAAGTTGATCTATCGTCGGCGGTATTTCGGGCGGTTTCGAACAAGGTGGTATTCTAAGATTCAAAAGATGGGGAAGTTGACAAATCATCAGTATGTCTAGCGACGGAAAAATCAAAAGTTTTAACAATGTAAACGAAACGTCTTTAAAGTCTGCATCAAATACCACTGTATTTTTCGCAGATATCTTCGCATTTTAACAACAACCAGCGTAAGTATCGGGTGGTGGTAATATGCGAGACAAAAATGTCACGTGACCGACCGTTTTCGCGCCCTTCTCG